TAATTAATTATTATTATTATTATAATCATCATGCAACATTTTTAATTATCATACCAATTTGATCACTTTTCAATTTGTCATCGACACCAGCCAAAGCAGCTTCCATACTTAACCAAAAGTTGATTTCTTGTATGGCAGTACCACTGGTGGGATCACGTGATAATTTTGTGACTTTTTGAATTTCTTTTATCCAACCGTTTACATCTGCTTGAAGTTTATTTAGAAAAGTGGATTCTTTAAAAAGTTGTGGGTCAATTACATCAATAGAAACTCTTCTTCCTTCTTGTTTACACTAAAAAAAAAAAACCCCCCCCAAAATTGAAATTATCAAGATTGAAAATATCGGTTTAAATCATACGGATATAGCTTTAAATCGAATTTGGAAATCTACCTTTTCAACAGCTCTTTGAACAATAGGATGAATATTTAACAAAATTTCAGGTATATCAACATTTTGTTGTAGATGAAGTAAAGACAATTCCAATTCGGCGATCTTCTTTTTAGCCATTGGAATTCCCATTTTAGAATCATCATGTTTCTTGCTAGTGGCGTTTGCTTCTGCATTAACACCTTTTGCACTAATAAAAGCATCAAAATAAGGCGCAACAGCCAAATGAATACAAGAATGTAATGCCTCGTATGGATTTACGCCAACTGATCCGGATTCATTTGAGGCAGGACCAGGTATATTTATGATTTGTATTTGTGATTGAATTGGTCTTGTAGAATCCAAAGTCTGTACATGTTTTATGACTGCAATTGATGCCACATGATTAGAATTGTATGATATTTCTTGTGATAGTTGATAAGAATACGATATTATTGATTGATCATCTGCTTAAAATTTTAATTGAATCATTATGGTTAATATAACTAATTACATAGTGACGGAAAATTTCAAGGTAATATAAGACTATTCTCCCATTTTTCAATAAAAAAATAATACCTTCATCCTTCTTTTCCTCTTTTTCTTTTATGACATATATGACATTAATTTGGGGGTCATTAGCATATTTTCTAAGTTTTTCGATTGTTTCTGATACATTCCATAATGAAGTTTTTAAATCTTGCTCCTCGGCTCCAAGAACTATAGGTAAAAGTTTATTAAGGTAATCTTGTAAAAGTATAGGTTCGAAAGTTGGTGGAGTTATAGCAGGTCCGGTAGGATTTTGAGAAACTTCTCCTACAGTTGCTACTGAATCGTCTTCCATTAATTTTTTTTTTTACAAAAAAATTTTATTGAATTAAATTATTAAAATTATTAAAAATTAAA